ACTGTGTTTATGGACCTTATGAATAGGGTCTTTCATCCCTTCCTGGACCAGTTTGTTATCGTGTTCATCGACGACATCTTGGTTTATTCTCGGAGTATCGACCAGCATAAGGAGCATCTGAGGATTGTGCTGGAGACTCTTCGCCGCGAGAAGTTGTATGATAAGTTCTCGAAGTGCGAGTTTTGGCTGGATCGTGTGGCATTCCTTGGCCACATTGTGACAGCGAGAGGCATTGAGTTGGATCCCAGCAAGATCGAGGCAGTGAGCAAGTGGGATACGCCAAGAAGTGCCGCTGATGTTCGTAGTTTCCTGGGGTTAGCAGGATACTACCGGAGGTTTATCGAGGGTTTCTCGAAGATAGCCCAGCCACTAACCAACCTTACGAAGAAGGTCGTGAGGTTCGATTGGAGTCCTAGGTGTGAGGAGAGTTTCCAGGAGTTGAAGAGGAGACTCACTACCACGCCCTTTCTATCCATTCCCGACCCTACTTTGGAGTTCACCATCTATAGTGATGCTTCTAAGATGGGTTTGGGATGTGTCCTTATGCAGCAGGGGAGGGTCGTAGCCTATGCTTCGAGGCAGCTGAAGCCTCACGAACAGAACTACCCAATCACGATCTTGAGTTAGCTGCAGTTGTTCACGCCTTGAAGATTTGGCGACACTACCTCTATGGAGGCAAGTGTGAGATTTTTACCGACCACAAGAGCCTAAAGTACATTTTCACTCAGAAGGAGCTGAATATGCTGCAGCGTAGGTGGTTGGAACTGGTCAAGGACTACGATTGCACGATTAGCTACCATCCTGGGAAAGCTGTTGGAACCCATGAGGATCTCGATATGCACAAATCACAGACAAACATTCAACATAAACCTATGCGCAGTGGATCTAAAGGTTTGATGAAGAAAACTTACTGCTTAAAATTTATGTAGATCTGGCTGGCCCGGACAGTTGACCGCAAATCAAATCTTCTCGGAATCGAACAAACTTGACCAATCCGGAAAGCTGACGTCACGGCGAAGTCAACGGCGTTGACCGGTCGGAAAACGGAGGAGTCACGCGCTCTCACGCGCGTCTGCAAGCTCCAGCAACTGGTTCCTCCCGGCGGCGCGTGGCGGCGCGTGCGGCGGCGTGCGGCGGCTATCTCGACGGCGATCTCTTCGTCTCATCGTCCTAGTCGTCGTGGTATGGTCACTTGCTGGTTTTGGTCTCCGGTTTGGATGT